GGCTGCACATTCCTGTGGACTGTGCACTCCTAGTCGTGTCTGCACTTCAGGGGACAATCTTAGGACTTTGCTTCTGACTTTGTCTGGGGCCAAATACACACAGAAGCTTTAACAAGAATCTAGGGTCCGCGTGTTTCATATTTCCTTAGGAAAGAAACCCAGGGATAACTTGGGGGAAGTTAGAGTGAAGTGAGAAAAATGAAGAGTATGCGACTGAGGGGAAAGGTGAAGAGAATGCACTATAAACAGCAAAGATGCCCAAAGTACAAACCCTGAAAGACAGATGTAACACTTAGTGGGTAATATTAGGAAAACACAGTAAAGCTGCAGACAGTCATCAAGTACTTGTGGAAGGATCACGGACCTTTCTAGACCATAGCTTCCCTCCGTATAAAGGAGAATGTTGGAGGGCGTGGTCTCTCAGGGGGTTTCCAACCTTCAAGTTTTGTAACTGTCTGACTTTAAACTGAACTTAAATTGCTAGACAAAACCTCAAGGTACATTTCATGGCAGGTATGCAACTTCTAGATTTTTCCTTGTTTTCTTGCTTACCATTGGAGGATCGAGGAACATAAGGAATGCTACATGCCTATTACGTTTTTAAATATATATTATATAACACGCAGAGATTGCACATTGAAGTATTTACATTGAAATGTCATGTCTGGGATTACTTGAAATATTCCAACTCAAAACAATCGAAACAACAAAGTGAAAGTAACAACAAATGTGACAAACTGGACTTGTTGAATCTGGATGAAGAGTCTGTGTGTGTGTGTGGGGGGGGGGTGTATGTGTGTGTGTGTGTGATTTTCCGTAGAAAAAAAGTTAGAGTAAAATGTAGAATAAAAGGAAAAAATAATGATATTCAACTATAGGTCCTTGCTAATCGTAACACGAGACATTTCTGTGAAGTAGGTGGTGGTCTGCCAAGCTGACTGGGGAGGGAGAAAGCAAAGGTGGACCACTTTTTCAGGAAAGTTGACTTTGAACCACAGGATGGGACACGCTGATGGGAGGCATCAAAGGAACCAAGGAAGGTGTGCCCATGGTGGTGTTTTGGGGCCGAGGACATCTCGAGTGTAAAGAAAGGACCAATCAGAGAAGAAATCTGGGGAAACTGGCTCAGAGACCCATGCATTCTTGTTGTAACACACCTGGTTTGATTCTGGTCAAGGGCATATGCCAGGGTTGTGGGCTCGATCCCGAGTAGGGGGCGTGCAGGAAGCAGCTGATCTATGATTCTTTCTCATCATTAACGATTCTAGAAATCAATTTTTTAAAAATGTAAAAGAAATATGTGTAAGGCACTGTACAAATCCTCTGTGGACCATGCCCTTCCTGTCTGCCTTAACTAAAAGGTTTCCCTTGAATTCCCCGGGCTCTCCCCTCAAGCTTGTCTGGCTCTCTGAGGACAGCGCACACCACAGCTCAAGCAGGAGCACACACCTCTCCACAATGTAGCCACTGGGCGGATGTGGGGCTTTCTCATGCTATCTTCCCCGTTGATACACCCTGTTGGCCTCTCTGCCTGAAGCCTCACTTTGAGTTAGTGTCATCAAGGAATAATTGATCATGATCTCAGTCCCTTTCTTCTGTCAGATATGACAACTCAAAATATGTTCTAAATGTGCCCCAGAGACTTCCCAAAATACATTTCCTCAGGCTTTTCTCACTGAAATGCACATGTCAGTTTTCTCACCCAAATCAAGATCTTACAGAATGTCTAAGCCAACCAAGGTTTGCTATCAGGTATAAATTTTATTTTAATTGCAAGTATTTATCCAAATCATTTTATAAAATAAAAGTGTTTCTAAAGGTTCAGGCAGGTGGCACCTGGTCTTGGTGACGCTGGGCACTTGGGTGATATCGTTACACCCTTCACCTCTCTCCCCAGTGGGCACACCCTCTCCTCCAGCCTCATCCCTGCACCCTGCGACCATCTGAACGGGGCTTCACTGTGATGTCTGCCTTGCTCCTCCACAGTGAGATCACCAAGTACAGGTTCCAGAAGTCTGTCCCCTTTCTATCCCAGGACCCAGGACCATACTCAGCAATGGCGGACACCCAGAACTTGTTGAATGAATGAATAATGTCAGAAATTTTCTGTATGATTTCTACAATTCAGAGAAGCCTGAAATCTTTGATCAGATGGAACCTGCATGCTCCTCTGGTTCCTAATGGCCCCCATGGGCGAGGACCCTGATACCGATTTCCTCTAAAATGAACTTGAGCTTCTGTGGGCCTTCCCAGGGCAGGGAGCCAGCCGGTCAGTTCCATGGGCAGCTCCTCCCATTGTTGCTCGGCCTGGTCCTCACTAATTCTGTGTGTAAAGTCCAAGGCAGCTGTGCCTTCCACCCACCAGCCGCAGTTCTGACACAAAACCTCCACAAGTTCCCACTTGCTGTTTCTTCTGGTAGACCTGCAAATACCCACAGCTGCTCACCTGACCAATGTGGGGTCTCTCTTCCCTAACAGGACCCCCTTTCCATCTCTGGATCCCTGTCCTAGAAACATTCTCATTTGTTCTGGCCCCTCTTTCAATGTAACTCCAGGACTAGGCAGAAGGCGACATAGGAAATGGTGAGGCACAGAGAGAAAAGGGTGTGGTTATTGGGACCTGAATATTAACAAGCCTGGGTACAAAAAAACATGAGAGTCCTTTGACCCTTTAAAAGCTGGAACTTCCCTGGCTAGGTAGTTGGTTAGAATGTCATCCCCATACACCAAGGTTTCGGGTTCATTGCCCAGTCAGGGCACATATATAAAACCAATGAATGCATAAATATGTGGAACAACAAATGATTGCAAATCATTGTTTCTCTTTCTCTCCTTCTCTCTCTTCTCCTCTCTCTCTCTCTCTCTCTCTCTCTCTCTCTCTCTCTCTATATATATATATATATATATATATATATATATATATATATATATATCTCCTACTCCCTTCCTCTCTCTTAAATAAATAATTTTTTATTTTTTTATTTTTTTAATATATTTTATTGATTTTTCACAGAGAGAAAGAGAGAGGGATAGAGAGCTAGAAACATCGATGAGAGAGAAACATTGACCAGTTGCCTCCTGCACACCTCCTACTGGGGATGTACCCACAACCAAGGTACATGCCCTTGACCAGAATTGAACCTGGGACCCTTCAGTCTGCAGGTTGATGCTCTATCCACTGAACCAAACCGGTTTTGGCGAATAAATAATTTTTAAAATAAAAGCTGAAACTGTTGGCTGCCAAGCTAGGGGATTGTTCTGATGCCTGATTCTCGGCAGACCCCCCCCCCACCCCCGCCAATGAAGAAACGGCTTGGAGGAGCCTCTCCGTAATATCTTCTCTTGAGAAAAGGGGGACAGCAGAGAGCCCTCTGCCCGAAATTCTCATTTCACTCCGCCTTAACTCTTCAGGTCAAGGACAGTGAGTGGAGGGCTGTGTGACTGTCTACCCTCCAGGTTCCCCAACCCAAGAGCCCGCTGGCCATGGGGGAGGGACAGGGACTCCTCACACAGGCAGAGGCCAGGCACATCACCTTTTCTTTCAATGACTGTGCTCATCTCTTGAATAACAAGCCACCTTTTCCTTTTCAAAAGGTAAGCTGGAGTGCACACATTAGAACCGATGAGAAATGCCACTGTTGTCCCACAAGACAGCGGAGGGGAAAGGCAGGGCCCTGTGGACTGACTCAGATGCAGGTCTGAGGTTTGTGTGCACCAGGCCACGGCCACACCCCACACTTGCATCCAGCACCGCCCCTGACCTCACAGACATAGGAAGCTCTCAGCGCCGCCTCCTCCTAATTCCCAGCAGCCAGGGGCCCTCGGCTCCTGGCCGGGCATCGGTGCTCACCCTGGGGCCAGGGGGCACAGAGAGGAAGGAAAGCTGCTTTCTTGGAGGAGGGGCATGGTGCTTGTAGGACCCCAGGGACTGGGGGAAGTGCCTGCTGGGGCTTGAACACACGATCATCACCAGCCCACCTCACCGGAGAGCAATTATGCACGTCAGGTGACACACGGCGATTTGGACAGGGATTCTGTTTTCTCACCCACATGCCATCAGGGTTTCAGTAAAGGTTGTGGTGTTTCCACCTTCTCCTTGGGGGAGAGGCTCTCAGTCCCAGGAGCAGTAGCCTCACTCCCAACAAGGGCAGCTGGTTCCACGGTTCCCATGTGGCAGGCCTTTGGAGCGTGGAGGGTGAGCTCAGTGCGCCAGCCAGTACAGGAGCAGACTGGGGCACAGGCCTGGCTGCTCCTGCACGCCAAGCCCTCCGCTTCCTTCCCAGGACACCGTGAAAGCCACGGCCCAGGACTTACCTTCGCCCTTCTCTGCTCTGCCAGTTGAGACAGAGTTAATACCTCCTAAATGCATCTTCTTTAAATTAAAATTGTTAGTTCACCTGAGGCCTCCAGTCCTATTACTGCTCTCTACTCAGAGAACCCTGGCAAACTCAGCCCCGCCCTGCCCCGCCCCAAGGTTTGGGTACTTTTTCCTCAGAGTCAGTGTAAGAGTAGGGTGCAGGCTTCCTGTGGGAAATAGGAGATGGCCTGGGGGAAATGAGAAACACAGAGTCACCTTCCAAAAAATGTGTTTAAGTGTGTCTATCCCGGAGTCCACAGAAGACGCAAAGAAAATGTGAATCTCCTGAAAAGGTGTCTGCCTAAAGAAAAGACCACTATCCCTTCAGTTCGTGTTCAGCCAACAACAACAACAAAACCACAGAGGATTTAGGCCACCTCCTAAATCAGGGGAAAAAGGTCTAACAAGTCTCAAGAACTCCAAGATGTTTTTATTGATTTCAAATTCCAATAGAATATGTTTTATCTAAATATTTTATCACACAACTGAAACATCGAACTTTTTTTTTTCAGAAATAGTTAAATACATCCATCTAGTTACAAATTCTAATATAAAGAGTACAAAATATAATGTTATAAACTGTATTTTAAAAAAAGAAATACAAATTCTATGGTCTTTTGCATTTTACTGCCTCAAAGTATCATTAGCAAGATTGATGAAGAATGAACATCCTCCCCGTCACTGCCCAGGGGCACTCGGGGCTCTGGGTGTGCGGGAGCCCTCCCATGAAGCCCTGGCCTGTCTGTTGCTGTTTCCTTTCTTTGCTCAGTGAGTTACATGCTCTGCCATTAGAACTCAGCAAAGGCAAAATCAGCAAAGCGGCACGTGCGCCCCCTACAGGTAGACGCCTCCAGAGGGAAAGGTACACTGGTACAAAGACAAGGTCCCTCTCTCCTGGGCACACGCCTGAAACCTCTGAAACCTCTGCGGTGGGAGCAGGGGGAGGGGGAGGTCCTTTGTTTTCAAGAAGGAAAGTTGTCTGTGAAAGTGCGAGAAGTGCTCGGACAGGCTGCTGTCCCCTCTGGGTGATGCAGCTCACACTCATCCTTGGAGCCACACTCTCTCAGTTGGGAGAAGGGAGGCATCTTAGAGAGGTGCAACCTGCTCCCTGCAGCACCCAACAGTCCACCCTCATGGGTGCTGAGTCACCAGGCCCACCTGCCTTTGCATAGCTGTTTGTGGGACGCCAGAGGCCCTGTGGCAGAGTGGCCGGACTGGGCAAGATCCACCGTCCTTCTCTCACCAGGTTGCCACAGGGGGATGCCCAGTGCAATCTCTGGGAAAACCTTCTTCTCAAGAAACCAGTGTCTCTCTTGGTTCAAAAAAATAAATAACTATTGGGGGGACCCCTTAAAGCACTTAATGCTTTTCCAAAACCAAAGCGGCAGAACCCAGTGGGCCGGCCTGAAAACGCGTGTTGTGTTTTGAACGAGGTGGAAGCTATCCACCTAAGATTGCTCTACGCATGCCTGGGGAAGCAGGCGGAAAAGTGGCCAAGCAGTGGACCTGCCCGAAAGCTGGTTCTTCAGACAACTGAAATATTCATTCTTCACGTTAAGGAGTACGAGTGAGTGACCTGAAAGATCTCTGTCGGCCCGTCGTCAGTGTGTTATCTGAAGGCGACAACGAGCAGGAGGCATGAACAGGAGAAGCAGAGCGAGCGGCAGCCACGCCAGGAGCCGCTGGCCGCGCTGGGGACACACACGGAGAAGCTGCGAGTAGACAACCAAACCCTTTATTGTCCAAGTCACATTAGATGCCAACACTGTAAAATCCTGTGAAGAATCGAGGAAACAGCAGATCGGTAGAGGTAGTAGAAAAAGTCTGGAACAGTCAGAGGTGACTTACAGGAGAGAGATCACACGGAAATCATCGTTCGAAGGAAAGCAAATTAAAACACATTGGCTAAATAAATAAGAAAACACATATCATATTAAATACTATGGCAGGGCTGGCAGGAAGGCATTCACAAACCAATACAATACTGATGATCGGTGGAAGCAGGAACCACAGTCAGGCCCAGAGACAGGGTGTCTCAGAGGGGGGCGCTCTCGGGGGTCCTCTCCCCTCCGTGTCATTAAGTAGAAACCTGATTTCCGGCCTCCTTGCAGCTCACAGTTATTTGCACTGGATACGATTCACCCTCTGCCGATGCCCAGGAACCACCCCTCAGCCCAGCCCACCAGGCTCCCCAGGGAGGGGTCTCCGGGTAGACACGCCCAGCTCGGGGGGGTGGGGGGGGGCCGCAGCGGGGCTCCTGGGTGCTGCTTTCCAACAGCGAGAAGGGACATGATGCCTCCGTGTCCCTTTGGGTATAGACTTTCTTTAATGACTAAAAACGTAGGCCAGGACTACATCACCAGCCCCTGTGTGTTCCTAAACTGTCAACTTTCACTTTCAGCCAAGAAATGAAAAGCCAGGAAATGCAGAAATGATCACTTTGGGAAAACTATCGAAATGATCAAACCTAAGTCAACAGAAAGGCTTTGTGGTTTCTAAGGTGAATAGAGGAATGTATCTGCAACATAATACATATGCTGGAAACAACTTTACAGAACCGCCAGTCACAGTCGCGTAACCGTATTTGCAAAGACATTCCCAATTACACTAACAAGACAGGTCATTCTGGTACCTATCTGGTGTAAGAATATCAGGAAAAACAAGTAAAAAAAAATAGATATACATACACACATATACATATGTATATGTGCTGTATATATGTGTATATATACATATATACACATACATATACATATATATATATATATATATATAAACTAGCCAGTTACATTGCATTGTTTCCAAGTGTTGCAAAGTAACCTGAACCGTCAAGTAATTTAAATTTCAGTAACAAGTAGAATCCAGAACCAAACACTATCTAATAACAATAACAACAATAATAATAATATAATAATTCAACAAATCATTAGAACAAAAACAAAAAAAAAAACGCACACTTTAGGGTGTGTGTGTGTGTGTGTGTATGTGTGTTTAAACAAGTCTTTGTATCAGAAGCCCATTTTCTACAAAAACTGCGCTACCCCATTACAGTATGAAGTAAACTGTCGCTCTCACCAGTATTAAAGGTTAAGGATAATTTCTGTACATGTAAAATTATTGCTTTTTTTGAAAAATATATTTCGCATGCTCATTTTTAATCCACTTCCTGCCTTTACAAAAATCTCACAATTAAAAAAAACCTAGTAAAGCTTTTGCAAAAAATTTCACAGAACATTTTCATTCAAGGCAGCAGTAATGTTTGATAATGCATAAAATCCTATGTGCAAACGTCTGAAACTCTCAGAAAGGTTACCGTCATCACCCCAGCGTCACGGTACCGAGAAAAAGAAAATAGGTGTATTTTCTGTGGAATAGGATTTTCACTGCGTACACTGCAGGATTTCAGATCCTTTGTTAGGGGCCTGAACCCCACCACAAAAACTTGCATTTGCATGACTGAGGAAGAGGTATATAGAGCCGCCCACCCCACCCGGGGGCCTGGGGACCTCCATGCTCTAGGAACGAGGATGCTCGTCCTGTGGAGGGCACCGGGAGGGTACCAGGCCCCAGGGAGAAACAGGCCTACTTGCTGGGGCGGGGCAGGGAGAGAGAGCAGAAGGTTCCAGAGCACCAGCTCAGGGTGATGGGCCCCCAAGTCTCCCAGGGCTCTCCTGCAGGACCAAAGTGGTCCAGACCTGGATGGTGTTACGATGGGCAGCCTTCCCTCGTGAGCAGTTTGCAGAATGTAGCCCTGTTTACAAGAGGTCCTGAGAATAAACAAAGAAGCCTGCTTTTCTTAGTGTTCAACCAGCTCTGCTCCGGAAGCAGAACATTAACACCCCCGTGGCCATGTTCCCACCATACGCTGAGCACAGGCGTGGGGCAAAGAAAGGAGCAATGGGGGATGCAAAGGGCCCCGGGGAGGCGACCAAACCTGACGGTGGAACAGGGAGACTTGGCCACCGCCCCTTCCCACCCAGCCTGGTTGGCACAGCATCTGCACGTCCCCTCCTTCCTGTCTCGTTCACCACATAAATACCCACTCAGTGGGAGAGGCCATAGTAGGAACGCTGTGTCAGCTCAACCCCAGCCCCGCCATCTCCCCACAGTCCCGCACACACGGCTTCCCTCGGTCCCACACGCGTGAGCAGCTCTTTTCCAGTGTCTCCACTCGTCGCGAGCAGCACCGACGCGCGCTCCCATCGCTGTGCCTGCCAACGCCACCGTCCATCACAGGAAAACGTGGGACCATGGTCGACGAGCACGTATGCTCATTCGGAACCTCTGCATGGAGTCCTAGAGTTCAGCGTCTCTATTTATTCCTCAGCGTCCGACCAGGAGAGACCTCGCCCTGCAGCCTCGGGCCAGCACAGCGGTCTGAGATGGGGGTGGCAGGTGGGGAGGGCGGCCACTCTTCCTCGCGCAGGTGGTTAGGGTCTCTGCTGGGAGGCAGCTGGGACATCCGGGCGGGGGCTGCTGACGGCGGTCACGGGGCACCGGGGTTCGCTGGAGAGGAGTCTTTAGGTGCCCTTTCTGAGAGGCACTGTCTGGACCGTGTCTGGGTTAGAAAGGTCTCTCACCTGGATGAGAAAAGGAGACAAGAGAACAGCTCATTTCTGCCTCTGGGTTTCTAAGTGCGTATTTCCTATGGATTTTCTTATCCACACCCGAGAACATACACAATGACCTTCTCAGAGCAGCTCTGCTGGGTTGGCAAAGACCCTGACTTCAGCTGTAGCTCCCTGCACACAAGCAGGTTGCATTTTTTTTTAAAAAAAATTTTATTGCTCTTTAGAGAGAGAGAGGAAGTGAGAGGGAGAGAGACACTGATTAGAAACATTGATAGGCTGCCTCCTGCACGCCCCCTACTGGGGACAGAGCCTGCAACTCTGGCATGTGCCCAGACCCCGAATTGAACCCAAAACCCAGGTATGCGCCCTGATCAAGAATGGAACCGGCAACCTTTCAGTGCACAGGACAATGCTCAACCAACTGAGCCATACCATCCAGGGCTACCCACATTTGGTTTAGGAAGACTGCAGAACCTAGGTAAGCTGAGTAATGAGGTTGTTAAATTTAGCCCCCAAATCTAGATGCACAGGTGCCCCTTTCTCTCTATAATTGAAGGGAGGTGTTCAAATAGCATCTCATTGTTTGAGAAAGTCATTTTCATACACTGATTCACTAAAACTGACACTTTACTAGTGAACATAGCAGTCCTATAGGATTTAAGTCCTACATGTTTTAAGGCATAGATGGAATTCATCTGTGAAATCAGGCAAAGGGGAATGCACAGCTGTGGAACTGAGGCTTCAGAAATACAGGCATGAAGAGGACACAGGGTATTTTGAGCACACACACATTATTTTGGGGGTTTTTTCCCTCCTATAAAAAGTCATCAGGAAGCGAGAAGAGTGCTTTCAGAAAAGTAGGTGTTTCTTTCTTGTAGTGTGTGGGGCTTTGCAGTGCTGGTTGAAAGAAATACAACCTTCCTCGGAGGCATTTTAATGTTCTGGGAATGGATGCTGACTTCTGGAACTCTATGAGGTCTGCTCCTCCCGTTCTGTCTTTGTAAGCATGCACACAAGAAAGCCTGTCCCCCACGCCTCAGAGGGTGGACGGCCTTCAGAAGAGGCTCCCATCAGCACAGGTGGTGGGTGTGAGGCTGCCTAACGGCTCTGCACCTTACTGATCACTGCCCCGACCCAGCCAGCCAGACACAGGCAGGGCTCTCCTGTCACTGTGGGTCACCTTGGATGGCTCACCAGTGACAGTCGTGTTGTAGTATGTCATTCTTAGAGAAAAGTGGACCATGTGTTTCAAGATGTTTGTTTGGTTTTATGATGAAGAAAACTGCCAAGACGAATGAACTGAATTCTGGAATTGGTTCCGAGAACCCAATAGTGACACTGAAAAGAAACTGTGCCTATGTCCAAATACTCCAACAAAGAGCCCCATCATCCACATTATAATACCCACAGCTGAACACAACACAAATTAGGTTGCCATTGTTTTCTCATTTCCTGATTTTGATTAATGGAATTA